AACAAAAAATAAGAAAAGGAATTAAATAACAAAGTTCCATGAAAAGCATAAATTATGAATTTCCAAAAAAGGAAGTGTTTTTTGGAAATTCATAATTTATGCTTTTCATGGAACTTTGTTATTTAATTCCTTTTCTTATTTTTTGTTCACAACCACATATCGAATTTTACAGCAATCAGTCAATTTTAAAAATTTGTCACGTTCTATTAAACACCTTCTGGTCTGTTAAAGTTAGTCTGATAATGAATTTGAAGTTACCTTAACTGTATCACGGCAACACATGTGTTTAGTATCAGTCGGTAAGATGCACAATTTCGAAACTTGGCATCAAGACTTGCTGCACTATTCACTCTTCCTTTACCCCTTTATAAAAAAGTTTTTTATGCCAAAGATTCGGTTTGGTTTAGGGGTTGCACGAGGGGTAATTCCATATATTTTGATTTTGAAGTCGCGGAAGAGGATACTATGCCAGCCGGAGGTAAATCGATGGACAAAGGAGTAAACAAGAAGTTGAGTGATTTATCCATTTATTGCACAATGTTTCGCTCAATAGATAAAAGTCAGAAATTCAAAGTGTCAAATCTCATAATTTCTTGTTAAAACTGGAATGTAATATTTATTACAAAACAGAAAACATTTGTTCTTTTCAATTTGATTTCCATAAGCTGTCTTTAATATGTCTATAGATTTTGTAAATACCACGAGATTTTCACTGTTTTGTTCTTATCTGTAGATTTCGTTGAGTTCTTCGAGGATTTTATATCTTTCACATGATTCGCTGAATTTCGTGTACTTTAGAATTCTTTTATGGATAATAATAAATCTTGATTTTAAAATTAGTTTTAAAGCCTCTGATACTTAATGTATCCAAAAGTTTTGTTACAATTGAATATATGTATGGGTCAGTTTCGATATAAAATTCTATATCCGTTAAAAAATGAGCCGTCTAAAATCAATCTAGCTCCGCGCAAATGGGTAGATCAGTGTGTGTACCGATCGATAGCTCCCTCTGCAGTAATCAAAGTGGGATCTAGATTCTGGCTGATGACGTATAGCAGTAGATCACCCTAGTACTCGACACGGCACGTGAGATTCGCGAGAATCTCATGCATGAAAGACGTACCCATGTGTGTAGGAGGACTCCGCCGACTACGCGTTTGTTGTTATAACGATGCAATATTGTATTTCAGGCAGTTATGAAATTTGAAAAAGCAAATGGAATTGCCGTATTTTCTTCCATTTATTTATTCCCTTTTTTCATTCTTTCATGCCTCTGATATACTAATTCCGTTGATTTCATAATATTGTTTACTTGATAACAAATAAATTAATAACAATAAATATATAACAATAAATTAATAACAAATAAATAAATATTATATCTCTGAATGTAATTATGTACATGGTTTCTTTCATTAATCCTAAAATGTTATTCATGCACTACCATTTAATAGTTTTATAAGATTCCACCAAAATATCAGGTGGTTTTATGAAAATTTCGGGCGCTGTATAATTAATATCGAGAACAAATTGCAATGTTCACTTTGGTCAGTTTCCATACTCAAAACAAGTTCCCATATTCAAGAGTAGAAAAAATATGATTATCATATAATGATTATGGTTATATCATACAAAACTGCTACTTTGTGCACTGTATTAAGACAATGAAATCTAATTTTTGTTAAACATGACTTTTTAAACCGGATAAAATTTTCCGGTTAACTTAATATGTTTCTGTAACTTGAAAATGAAATTAAAAGTTCAAAACATTTATAGAATTGTTTTTATCAATATCTTTCGTGTATTATTATGATCGTTCGTGTGTTTCACGTGAATTCTGGAAATCTAAACGTGATCAAAATTATGCGACATCGTTGCACACAGGTAAGAATAATAATCGGTTTTAATGGTATTTTTCTACATATATGAAAATGCTTTGAAAACTATGGCCTGCATAGAGGGATGCGTCGGGCTAAAGATTATCGAAAGGAAATGGCGTTTCCGCAGTGATTTTATGGTTCTCGAGAGCTGTAGAAGCAGTGGTTCAAGGTGCCAGACAAATTGCCCCAGTAAGTTCGAATCCATGAAAACTCCTCTTGCAGGATTTAAGAATTCAAGAACGGTGCCAGCAGGCTGTCGTCGGGACAAGCCCCCTGAGGATTTAATTCGCAGGTGCTGGCATAATTACTTGGTTTCATCAACCATAACAGTTCTGCGGTTTATCTACTAATTTAGAATCTTATAGTAAAACCATAATCGACAATTTGATCTCAAATCAATTAAAGGAAGAGATTGTTTTCGAAATGTCGGCCCACACACACACAATTCTAAATAAGATAAACGGTAAAAAGTAATTTTTATTTTGTATGTGCACTTTTCATATGCTGTTTAGTAAGTAAATAATTTTCTTAATTGTTGTTAGACATGTGTATAAATAGAAATTACTTCTTACTTTTTAATGGAATTAATTGATTCAGTAAGTTTTTTAGATTGTTGTCATTGTTGCTATCTGTACAAATGAAAAGTGTATAGTTTGTAAACATAAATTTATAATTTTCTAAACAATGATTTATGTAAAAATGGAATCTCACCAAGATTATAATCGTAAACCACATATAATAATGAAAGAAAATGTCAGTGATCGATTGCTGGTTGAGGTAGCTTAAACAAACGTCTCACCCCAAGAAACTATTACTTTTAAAGTTTCTTGTGAATATACCTACATTGTAAATGTAGGATTACTTATGATACTTCGAGTATTTCGTCCAATTTATCCATTGCCATAAATGATTTTAGGTTTCAGTTTCTGTGTCACCAAGTTTTTGACAACTGCTGTTTTCCAATGCCGACAACACGCGGAGAAATAATTTATCATTGTTACCATAAGTATTGTATAAATACTTTATAACGCATGTATATATAGATCTTTTCCAAGGTTCTCTGAACAAATAAACAAAAATAACCTATGGAACATAAATTTACTTGACCGGTACATATTTAAACAAAAGTATAGATAGTTTTAGTCGTTGAAAATTCAATTGTTTAGTTGAATTCACAAATCGCCGAGCATAGTAATCAATTTCTCAGATTTAGTATACTTGTTCAACTATCTAACGAATGCTACTTTGGAACTAAACCTATAAGTAGTTAGAAAACAATTTCACAATCCCACAGATATGTCGGCTGGAATATATAGTCAAAGTGCCGGGCGGTTTCGCTTGTGAACATTGAAGTTACTATTAATTTCGTCCGCGGTTTGTACGTTTCACCGACAGAAGTCCGCTTTTAGTTAGATTC